GGGTACAGCCTTTCCTTTGGGAAGAGCATTATTACCGTCTCTTGAAAGAATCGTACGAATTTGAAGTGGGTGTTCTTGACTTCCTGCCAAGACATAGCAGTATGCGGTTATATTACAGTGTTGGTAGAAACCACATATATGGCAGGATTTTGAGTTCCGATGCACACATTTCAGAAATTGCGTTTCTCTTTGAGCTCTTGGAGGGGGGTCGTGCTCCTATTAATTATTTTAGATTTCCACCCCAAAACAACACTAAAAATGGATATCCATTCCTTTTGAAAGCCCTTTCAAGAGATACTCTTCTTGGCTAGTAGTATTCTGAGAGCGGTCCAGAAAACCTTTTGAAAAAAAAAATCACGGGAGAAACACAATGATGCATAATTCATCTCTTCACCCTCACAAACCCAATAATGTCCCAGCTGCTCTTCTCGGCAAGTGCTCCCAGCAGCCCAAAAATCCCATTGAAATAAAAAATCACAGGACAACCATGGTGAAGCACCGAAACTCATCCCTCTGGTCCTCACAAACCCAAACTCAATCCATCATGTCCAAAATATTGTTCTCAGAAAGTACCCTGAGTGGCCCAAAGTCCCTTTTTCCCCAAAAGCCACAGGAAAGCCATGATCATGCAATGAGACCCATCCCTGAAATTAGATCCATGATGTCTGATCAATAACCTGCCACTTCTGCACTTGGTTGGATATTTAGTATTGCAAGCAGGAAGTGACTGATAGTGACGAACCCCCTCTCAGATGAGTCAATTCTACCAAGGAAAATCTGACTCTGAAAACCTTGCAAATGATGCTGAAAATTCAGGGAGAACTGGACTCTGTGAGCTCTGAACAAGAAGAGGTTATTGAAAATATAGATAGGTTTCCAAATATAGCTGACCGTAGTTGATGACCGTGACATGCATGGAGGCCCAAGCCTTTTCAACCTTTCTCTTTCAGTTTGTAGTTGCTTTCTCTACAATAGGAAGAAATAAATTGAAAATATGGTTGAGTAGGTTTGGATACCAACCCACTAGTTTAAAAAAAAAAAAATGAAAATCAATGTGATGAAGAAAATCAATGACGCACATCCTGAACCAGCATAAAGAATTGCTTCAGTAGTTGCTTTATCAGATAGAAAACAGTAGTTGCTTACTCCCTGTGCAATGTTAGCACTTATGAGAGATTTTTAGCATGACATGGAACTCACAATCTGAATGCCATTCATATAAAGAGCTATCATTAGAAATTATGCATTAAAAATAGAAGAAGGAATCTTGCATTCTAATGATAAAAAGGGAAATAAGCAACATGGAATATTATGAGGGAAAATGGGTAACCAACCTCCTGGATTAGATGATCCTGTTGATTTAGATATTTAATAAGAAAAATGAAAGAGCATGCCAGCTGCAGAAAATTAGATGTGGGCACTACCAAAAAAAGAAAGTGCCTACTGTCTGAGAAAGGAAAAAAGTTAGCCAAAAAATAAATGATGCAGGTTTCTCACATTCTGCATCATGATTCAATGCTAGGTAAGACAGAAGATGAATGTGGAACATACAGGCTGCACAGAGAGTAAGTTTTATATTGTGAATCTGTTTTGTGTACTTACTTTTGGAGAACTGGTACCCTGCAATGGCAAATGCTACTCTCAGGCAGATAATACTTTAGCATCTTGATTACTCACAACCTGCAGGTGATCAATCAGCAAATATAGGTGGCATCAATTATTTACTTACACCCTGGAGTGTGCTGCAGCATAAGAGGGCAGATATATCAATGTCAAGTAAAATAACTTGCATACTGCAAATGAATTATCAAACTAGGCTCAGAGAGTAGATCAAAGCAACTCACAGCCTAATGGTAACATTCACTTAAAGTTAAATAATTGCACATGAGTCATAGAAAGTTACTTACCCCCTGGCAGTATAATTGAGATGGAAAACCCAATCAGTACTACCCAATAAACCAGGTAGGTTGCAACTAACATACTAGTTAGATAGACATTAGCATACAAAGTTCCATTGTTGAAGTAAACTTACTTACACCCTGATGAATCATAGTTCAATATGAGAATTGATGAGTCAAATGTTGCAGAGAAGATACCGACAGCCTATATAGAGCTTCATCAGCTTTATGTATTCTTTAAATAGAATACCTACATGTGATGTTTTCGAACTGGGAAAATTCAGTTTAGAAACTATTATCAGGGACTTGAAACTGCTCTTACAAGTTTGCGACATTCTAAAAACAGTAACCATAACATTCAGCATTCAGCATTCAGCCACCTGCTTTGAAATAATTTCACCTTCTGGTGTTACACATCAAATGTCAGATTGTGTAAAACAAGACAAAGAGAAGACTAACATTCTGGTTGCAAAACATCCACAAGAATGGCCAACAGAGCTAACATTATCACTCACCCACTAATAAAATGAATTTAGTAACCAGAGAAAGAGAAATGGCACTCACTTTCTTATGGTTATAGATAACTTGAATGAACTCTTTGAAGTACAAAATTCTAAATCACTCACCACCTAAATATAAGATAATAAAATGTGTTTCTAGTTCTCCAAATTACTCACAATCTATACTTTCAATGACATGTTGTTGATTTTCAAAAAATAAAAAACTTACATCCTGCAAAACAGATTTGAAGATTATGATTATGATTTGAAAGTGTCATTTACTCACTTCCTGTTGGGGAAAATTTGTCAAGGTCTAAATACGAAAGAATTATGAGCATACTTTAAGTTTCTGAATGAGCTGTGACATTTTCTGGGTCAAATTTTGAAAACATGCCACATTCTGAATGTTTCCTCAATTACAAAATAAACTTCAGAGCTCAAAAGGATTAACCCACCTCCATGCTCATATTTAGCTGCTCCATATCTTCTAGTATTGTCTTTGTGTTGTCAACCTTGAAGATTAAAATATTAGCCCAAAGGATAAATGAAGACTTTGAAGAGTCAAGCAAGATATCAATGTTTTCCTCCAGGACATTGCTTTTGCGCATTAACCCCGTGATCTCTCCCAACCATCCTGATTTACTTATTTTGATGCATTTGAGGAGATGGTCAAACCAGTGGACGGAAGCATACTGTTGCACCTCTGCACGTTGTACCCAGCCTAATTTTGTACTCCGTTCAGAGCGGGATGGCTCCTCATCCCCTTCCGAGAGTTGTGCAGTAATTTCTAGACAACTAGCCGCAAGGTAGAAATGAGCATTTAGACCATCGGAACAATAATGTCTCGAGTCAGGTGAAGCCTTGAGATATTCCCAAAGAGACTCGCAAATCGGTTGAATGGGATCCCTATCATCAGCCGGAATATAGAGGAGGGCATTGATTTGGAAAAAGGAGGGTAAGGGCAGTACTTATCAGTCCCCCACTGATTCCTGCAGGACTCACAGGATTCCTGGGGATTCCTGGGGATTCCTGAGGATTCCTCAGGACTACACTATAATTTTGGTGATTTTGTGTTGGAAGAGAAAAATTATGTCAAGTCCTCAGGAATCCTGAGGACTACATGTCATTTAAACCATAAGTTAATGCTAAGAATGCCTCATGATAGGTAAATTTTATTGGTGAAAAACAAGATGTATTGAATGTAATTAATTAAGTATATTTAATACAATTTAATTTTAAAGGGAGGGGGAAAGAGTGATGAAAAGTGATGAAGGGAGGGTGGTGGGGAGTGAGAAGGGAGGGGAGGGGAGTAATGGAGGGGGAAGGGAGTGTGGAGAGGGAGAGGGAGTGTGGAGAGGGGGAAGGGAGTGTGGAGAGAGGTGTGGAGAGGGGGAAGGGAGTGTGGAGAGGGGGAAGGGAGTGTGGAAAGGGGGAAGGGAGTGTGGAGAGGGGGAAGGGAGTGTGGAGAGGGGGAAGGGAGTGTGGAGGGAGAGGGAGTGTGGAGAGGGAGAGGGAGGGGAATGATAGAGGGGGGATGCTGGCCATTGTCCATGAGTCCTCGTTCACGGGCGGTCGTCTCGTGGGCGGTTGTGGTCGTTGGTGGGCGGTCGCGTTGGTGGGTGGTCGCGTTGGTGGGCGGTCGCGTTGGTGGGCGGTTTTGTTGGTGGGCGGTCGCGTTGGTGGGCGGTTGTGTTGGTGGGCGGTCGCGTTGGTGGGCGGTCGTCCTCGTACGGGGCGGTCGTTTGTGTACGTCGGGGGCGTCCGCCGTTTGTCGACCACGGTGGTGTCGTCCATGGGCGCTGGGTCGTCGTTGTCCGTCGTTGGGGT